CCCTCAACCCTCAACCCCAAACCAACCAAGCAAAGTAAGCCATCCAGGGACAAAGCTCGCTTCCTCGCAATAATGTACATGGCTTAGCCTTGTGCCTGACCGCCCGTATGAGGCCTAAATGGCCAAACTATTTAGGAACCCTAAACCCCAAACCCTAAACACCTAAACCCTGAGGGTTTAGGGGGTTTAGGGATTGGGGCTTCGGAAACGGGGTGCGAGTCTAAGGCTGAGGGTCCCCATCTCTGGCATAGCACAATAACGTCACTTAGCCCGCAGAGGCTCGCATATGCTTGGATGCTGTGTAGAATAATGTCCATTTGGCCCCTCGTTATTTCTACCTGCTTTTGGGGTCCTGGCATGCAGGATTTTCATGATAAAACGAATGAAGCCCTAAACCCTAAACGCAGCGCCACAGTTTAGTTTGCGGGTCAGGGTTCACAGTTTAGTGTGTAGTGGCTATGAGACCATGTGAGTAGTAATTTTGGGGGGGTTACTAACACCCAATAGGGAGTAAGAATATATCCTGATTTCGGGTATAGTATTTTGTAAGACGAGTGTAATCTCACTTGATTCAACCACCAGAAAACCCGGCTCATGAGGCCTCATACTCGCAGCAGGACCGCAGCAGAATTCCCATGGATGGTCCTCCTTCTCTCTCGCCCCATAACCGACTGTCCAAGAAGTTCAGATTTGGAGCGGCTGATGGGGCTCTAGAAAAGGGACATGGGGGTTTTATATAGGGATATAACAATAACGGGTTTAGGATTTAGGGTTTAGGCTTCAGGATTCAGGGATCAGGGTTGAGGGTGTAGAGGGCTTAGGAACTATCTAGAACTGGGCTCTAGCCTACTTCTTAGCCAAGGTAACCTAGGTACGGCCAATAGGCGGGTCAAAAGTAGCATCATACCCCAAGTTCTATGTAGTTACCATTACTAAGTCTCATGAACCTCCAGGTACTTGGCAGTTCCACCCATACGGCTCTTGGACCCTCATAGCGGGTTGCTGTTAAGCAACTTAAACTAGTTACTAGATTAAGGAAACCCTACTATTTGCTATGTAGCCCATACTACGGTAACTTAAGCCCTAAGCACTATAAACCCTTAACCCCATATACCCACCTTATGGTAACTTCAACCCTAAAACCTACATACACAACACATGAGCTATAGTCTAAACTCCTAGTACCCCACTTGATCACCCTATACTCCTCTATATAATTCCCTATATAACCACTTTAAAGAGTTTAGACTACAACCCACATGGTAACCTAAGTTCCTTAACATTTAACAGCAATGCAGCATAATGGGATCCCAGGCGGTACCCAACCCAAACGCCATGTAACTGAAGTCTGATGCTGACAAAACTATGATTTAGGCTTTCGGGTTTAGGGTTTAGACGTTCGCGTTTAGGGTTTCGGGTTCCCCGGCTGTTGCTACTAGTTGTACTGTTGGCACCAGTTATACCTTAAGCCATATGGTAGTGAAGCATATTTTGGGCCTCGCAGGATTTTCTACATCAACCGTACCACAATAGCACATACCCTGCTACAGGTCAGAGCAACAGCAAGATAGCAAAATCGTAGCAGGAAGCAGGACAAAGCACGTTGCTAGTCTCAATCAAGGAGACAACCAACATCAACAAAGCAACCTAAACCCTCAATCCTAAAGTAGACCCATGATTAATCAACCCCCTTCGTTTACATGCCTCAATATAAGGATCCCTCCTGTAATCCCTATGAAGGAGGGGGCTTATGTATCATGGGTCTACACTAAACCTAATGCGAAAGAAATTGATGCTCAAGGCTCGGGTCGTTGAAGTGTTGCTCCGTCAAGTTTCCAGCAACATAGTCCCTGCAGCAGCAGCGAGGGGTGAGGTTCTAATCCCCTCATAGTAATATTGAACACCCCCACTCCGAATTCTCAGTTTCGCGATTGGAGACCTCATATAATTATTGAGGTGCATGTTTGAACTTAGGGGTGGTGATTCATCAGCTTTTGCATGAAGCGATTTTTGCGTCTTGAACTGCATGATACTGAGGAGGCCATAGTATCTCCGCCTCCTACTATAAATACCAACCAGAACCAGATTCAGAAAGTTAGGACGAAATCATAATAGTATATCACAAGAGCTACTACTAAGTCCGTTCGAGCATCCAGGTATGGCTGGAAGACACAGTAGGCTTATGGCAGATGAAACTTGCTTTGTGTGTTTGAGCGTCAGAGTCACGTTGCGTGTGTGCTGGCGAAAGAAGGAAAAGGTCTAACACTGCAAGGGATTCTGGGGTCTAGATGTCCAGGACTTCCAAAGCCGTAAGTGAGGAATATACCCTGCATGTTACTTAGACTTCCCCTTAAGTAGGTAGAATATGGCTTTGGAGATATGATAACAAGATCCCCTTCTACCCCATATTCTATCTACTTAAGGGGGACTATAGATTCCTAGCATGTTCGATGGCTCATTCCTTGAAGCGGGGGATGGGGAAGGTCTGGATGTCGCAAGCATGAATCTTGGGTTCAGGGTTTAGGGGTTTAGGGGTATAGGGTTTAGGGGTTTAGGGGGTTTAGGGTTTAGGGTTTTGGGGGGGTTTAGGATTTTGGGGGTTTAGGTGTTAGTGTTGAGGGACATGTTCAGGTGTTGAAGACATGATTTAGGGATTTGTTTCTGCTTAGGGTTGCTAAACGCTAAGCCCTGAACCCACTCCATATGCAGACTTCTGCATGTCACCCGTCAACTGCTCAGAATCCACTAGAACAATCAGGCTATTCTCTAGCTCTGAACCCTAAACCCTAGGACCCCAAATCCTAAAATTTGAAAGCCAACCAAAGCCATCCCAAAACCCCTTGATGAAGGAAAATACCTAAGTCATACTTGAATAACCGCTTTTAGGGTTTAGGGCTTTGGGGCTTACATCCTGTAAGTCAAGGGTCCTGGAAGTTGTGGCTACTGTGCTTTCTATGATCAAGGGCACTATGAACTAAGGTACATTCCTCAGCCCAAGTGTCTTGGCAGTTTTAGAAAACCCTAAGCCTTAACCCCTAAGCCCTGAACCCTAATCCCTAAGCCCTAAAGCCTAAACCTCAAACCCCAAACCCCAAACTCCCAACCCTAAACCCTAAATCCTAATCCCTAAACCCTGAACCTGAACCCTAAATCAGTGGATGATTCGCGAAGCCACCTCGCATTTCCACAAATGATGCGAGACTGTCAAAGTTAAAGAAGCAAACTTTGCAGCCTGTATACTCTAGTATAACCCGAATATTTCTCTAAATTACAACCCTATCATATAACCCAATATAACCCGAATATTACCCCAATATGACCCTCAATCCCTACAGCTCTTCACATTACCCATAGATCCTAAGGGTCTGGAAGCCTAGACCCTGAACCATTAGGGTTCAGGGTTTAGGGCTTAGGGATGAATATATCCCTAGGTTTTCGGATTTGGGCCGTTAACTCCTTAAACCCCCAAAGCAAAACCCACAAAGCCAGCCCCGAAACCCTAAACCCTAAACTCCAAGCCACGAAAGGCCTTCTCATCCGCAGATAGTCTAGGAAGTGTTCGTGGGATGGCTGTAGGTTGACCTGGGTTGCACAATGTTTAGGGTTTAGGGCTTAGGGTTTACCTCTCTTTTTTTGTCGGGCCTTTTTCCTTCGGGTTTAGGGTTTAGGGTTTAATACTGAGGGGCCTGTGTATGTATCTGGGGCGTAGGGTTTAGGATTGCAGAATTCATCATGTCTACAACTTAATCTGGCTTCTGGAGTTTAGGGTCTAGGAATTTTTAATGAGGGTTTGCAAGGTTGAAGAGCTCTGGGCATGGAAATAATGGGACAACTTAGGTATAGCTAGAAGCTAGGCCCCGCCCCGTGGGTTGGGGAACCCCCTAAGATAGGCCCTCAATAGGGTTTAGGGTTTAAGGGTGTCGGTTAAGGGCTTGTGATCCCTTACAGCATTGCTCACCCTATAAACCCCGATGAGCCAACTCGGGGGCCCGGCAAAGAGGTTGGCACACATATTGCGTCATATAGGGTTTGGACCGTAGAGACTCCAGCTACCGACCCTACAATTTGAAGACTACAAGTTGAAATGTTCTTGTGGAGGAGGAGAGGCGCTTAAGAGCTCATTTCCATTGGCCAGGCAAGCAGATAAATTTATCGACAAAAGAAGAGGGGTGTGTCATGTTGATAATTTCATGAGACTTTGCTGATGATCCTCGTGTGGGTCGAACTTTCGGCACCCTGCAACATGGATTTTAATGTCGGGGTTAAGCAAAGCAAAGACCCCGGAAATATTTTCAACAAATGCCTGCGGCAGGCAACATGGATTTTGGTGTCAGCGTAGAGCACAGACCCACAAGTGCTTTGAAAAAATGCCGGAGGCACGCAGCATGGATGTTGGTGTCGAGGTTGTGGATTTTGGTGTCAAGCTTCAGCATAGACCCACAAGTGCTTTCAACAAGTGCCCGCGGCAGGCTGCGGGGAGCCGACAGTTCGACCCACACGAAGATCAGTAGCAAGGTTTCAGGAAAGTATCAACATGAACCCAAACGTCCCCAGGCCTCCTCCGGAACTAAACAGTAATATCCGCTTGCCTGGCAACTGAGCCCTCCACAAGACCCGTTCAACTTGTAGTCTTTCAATTGTAGGGTCGGTAGCACGAAACTTTCGGAAGGTAATATTGAACTTCAGGGGCTTCGGTTTTTGGGTTCCCTACACCCTAAAGCCTAAATTCCGTGGCTCTGGGCCCGCTACCTGATTGCAAGACTGAACGCCTACCCTGAACTTCCACTGCAACTTCTCTTTGGGCAGTGCATTATGACTCCTTCACCAAAAAACAGAGCAAGCCCGAAAAGGGAACTGCATAGGATTAAAGCCCTGGCTGCAATAAAATCTTCGCGGGGGAGCTTTGTTGCCTCTACACGCAGTGACTGCGGCTCAGTGGGAATGAGCCCCTAATTATTGTAGGCATAACTGTAAAGCTGTAAGTAGTTGGGGTTACAGATAGAATCAGCTTCATCAACAGAAAGCCAAGCCGCAAAATAGTAATAAGATCGAATGCGCTCTACCGGCTCCCGAACGATGGTGGTGATCAGCAGGCGCTTCCACCCAAAGAACGGCGGAAGCCATATACGCGCCCGTTCCTAGAGATTGGGGAGTTTCGGTTTAGTCTTTAGGGTGTATAGGATTTTCGCGTACATTAGCCCACGATTTTAACACTCCGATGAGGGGTTTGGAATTGAAACTCAAAATTTCAGCGTTAAGGTTTTGGTGTTTACTGCAGAAACTGAAGCCCTGAAGCCCAAACCCTAAACCAAAAACACCGAACCCCATACCCATACCCTTAACCTGCAACCCTAGACCCCAAACCCTCAATCTTAAACCCTAAACCCTGAACCCAAAACCCAAATCTAAAACCCTCCACGCAATGTCTGGGTTGAATATTTAGCTGTAAGGAGAAGCCTCTGAGGGGGGTTTAGAGTTGAGGGTTTAGGTAAGGGACACCTGCTCGAAAACCCAAAGCCTGATAGGCTTCACTTGCTAAGCCCCCCCTCTAGACTACCCTCATGATAAAGGCTATGTAAGTTGATTAAGGCTAATTAGGGGAGAACCTCGGGTCGTAGTAGGGGGGGTAGTTGGGGCACCCATGAAAAGCCCCAAACGAACAACACCAAAT